CAGGTAATGAAATTATGAAAGAGAAAAAAAAACAAGAATATGTGCGATATGACTGCTATATTGTAGTCTAGTTTTAGACACTCAATTAAATCGAACTAAAAGATCGTAGTTATTTTTTTTTACATGAAGAAGAATCTATAAAAAACGTTCGGATAAAAGTCGACTTCTTTTTCCAACTGTTTATTGTTCTAGTTCGAGTCTGTCCGGTTTTGATCAAGCGTCTCCTGTCATGCACATTCGATATTTAAAATGTTTTTCAAAACAAGCTTAGTTGTTTAGTTTCACTGCACTTTTTTCTATTGAACCACCTAAGTCACTCATTAAACATTTGAGAAATAGGAGAAATGAAATGCCTACTACCAAGACCAAACACACGCTGTTAGATCTTACTGTAAATCTAATAATTCTAATCAGATCTTGTCAAAATTTTGGCAGAATATTTGTTATTAGATTTCGACACTTCCTCAGACAGTCAGAGTTTACGAGAAAACATTATCGACTGATCAATTGTTCTCACACTGAAAGTTATCGACCATGCTAGTTTTGAACATGACGATGAGAAATCCTTTTACATTTTCATACTCTTGTTTTGCAGTCTAACAAACGTATTGAGAAACTCATTTTTTTTATCTTCTCATATTATAGAGTATATCGAGTTGTCTATAAATCGATAATATTTCCTAATTTCCTAAAATGAGTTTTAGATAAAATAAAATCATCTTGAAGATTTCTGCATTGAGATATTGATATGTATCTGTTGTATGAACTGAAATGACTGCATTTTCTGCAAAAACAACTGATTTGAAGCTTCTATAATCTAGACAGAGCAAAAAAAAACACAACCATAGCGAAAAAATTGTTAGTGTAGAAAACCAGCATATGAAGACCTAAGGGGATTTCTCATGGTCATACTCGGAATTAGCCTGGTTGAAAATTTATAATCTACTAGCTTCAGTTACAAAACGTTCCCTTATTATTTAAAAGTGAGTTGCCGGATTATTTCAGATTCTATCCGATCCGACATCATTTTTGGAAGTGCCAAACAAGCTTCGACTATAGAATCATTCGTGGTGAGTGCATCATAAATTCTACGGTATACATGCTTCATTCATTCCTCAATGAGACACAATAAATTTCCTAAATGAAATACTTTAAAAACATGCTTGATTTCTCCTTCTATTCACTTTTCTATGGACGCTGATTATAGGAGGTTCCTCAGCATAGTAAGGCATTTGTGGCTTAGGCAAAAGCAAAAATATAATATTTCAAGATTAACTTCATATACGTACAAATTCTTAATTTAATTAACGAAAGATATTCTCTGAAAAAAAGATTAAGATTACAAAATTAGTAAAAAAACAAAGAAATTTGTTTATCCAATCAATATACTTGTATATTGATTTGAGTCAAACAAGAGATTATTTCTTATTTTTAAATATTCATAAAATCATACCCATCCATTCACTAATAATAATATCGATATTTTCATCAAATTGTTCAATATCTTCAACACGTTTATTAATCACTTTTATACGATCATGTAAACCATTGCATTTAATTAATTGTTCAGCTAAATCACATATTGTTGGACATGCATCAACAGCATAAACAAGTTTAGCACCTGCCTTAGCAGCAAACATACTCAATACTCCTGTTCCAGATCCAACATCAAGTACAACCTAATGTTAAATATCTATTCATCAAATATGTTATCTTTATTTAATAAACTACCTTATTTTCAAATAGTTTTTTATTATTCATAATTGCATCATAATAAGCACTAACACGTGGACGATCACGCAACATTAATTCATGAACTTGAAATTGATCATATGATTCAAAATATTGTTGATCATTACTCATTTTTTCAGAATCCATTATCTACAAAAAGAAGCATTTGCTTTTCTATTCTTCGGAAGAATCTGTTCTTTTATTTTTTTTAATTTATTCTATTTTTTTTTTTGAAACAAATAACAGAAGTTAATTTTACTATTTATTAGATATCTTTAAAATTTCTTCGAATAATTTTTGTATTTCAACATGATTTTGCCAGAGATTTTGTTTTAATATATCTTCTTGGACTTGTTTTGCTTTATCAATATTATTCATTTCTTTAATAGCTGTTAGAACAGTTAAATATGTTGGTACATCTGGTTGAATTTTACGTTGCATTTTCATTTGATCATATAATTGTATAGTACGTTCCCAATTTTTTAATTGATTATAATAATTCATAAAGGCAACATAATTTGATACGCTTCGTTCTTTAATTTGATTAAAATATTCTTCCGCTATTGTATAATCACCGGATGCAATATACATAGCTATGATTTGATTTGATAATTCCTAAAATAATATTAGTGCGAATTTTTTCATGATATCAATGGTGTTAATTAGGTGTCGACCGAGACTTCGTGTGGGACGAGATGGGACAAAATAATTGTCCCATGGAATTAGCTATCGCGAACTGTCTCCTTGGAATGGAACTATCTTCAAAAATTTTGTCCCATGTGAATTGGAACTGTTCTCAAATATTTCTTCCCACAGCACTTCACGCTAGTCAAATACTAAAAAAAAATTTCGAACACATCTATCGTTTCCATTAATACTAGCAAATTTTACATGATTTCATCTTATATTTCATAATTATACTATAACAAAATTCACATGTCAGCGAGAGAAACATTCGTTTCGAAACGATTAGGTTGTTTTTTATGAAAACAATTATTGTAAAAGACGTTTGTCCCATGGGATATTTGCTGCATTCCATACGATGGGATGAGATTGTTTCATGCCACGTGAAGTCCTGGAGTCGATCACCAACTCCCAGTTCAGATCAAATGAATCAAAGAACCATTCAAATAGTCACTTTGATAGAAACTAATCTGTTCCAGTTCCAGGAACTGAATTGTTCAAAAAATTATTCATCATCTTCGTTACAGAAAAAAAGCTTTTTTATACCCGGAAGCGTCTTTCTCAAAAATAGAACAAAATTTGTCCAGAAAGTATATTCTGAGGAAGTGAACTGTTCAAGCAGATCAAAGAACATTTTCAACACTTCATTAAATCAGAACTAGAACTGAACTTGTCGATCTCTTGTTACTAACGAGTCAACTTATAATAATGATCTTTTGTTCATTTTCTCGAATTCATATTCTCAAAGGAAGTCTTTTGAAGTCTTATAAACTGGAATAAACACCCAAAGCAGTTATGTATATTTCTCTTTATATCGTCAACAATAATTTCACTTTTGAATAGATGCATTGTTAAGTTATTTTTTTATCTTAAAAGTGTTTTTTTGTTGTTGTTATTCAATGAAAAAACTATTCCACATATTTTTCACTAGATCTAATGTATATTTGACATGGATGATGTTATTTCTCTTCGTGGAGGTTCTATAAAGAGAAAATTGAGTTCTATACATGCCTTAGGAGACACTTCTGTCAGTCACAAAGATACTGCCAGTTAAGATGTCTGTCATTCGTTGCCTCTCTATATGCCTGAGAAGAGATTATAATTAATATTTTGTCTTTGTCATCTGATAAAAACTGACAATGTGTTTTGTATTCATATATACAGAAATAAATAGTACACTCAATCTTGTTAATAATAGAAGCAGATTTATTTTAGCTCCACATACAAATACGGCTAACGTTTTTCTTTCTTGCATTGTAAAGAAAACTTGATAAAAATGAATAACTAACCTTATTTTTCATATAAGTTGATGTTTTTTGTTTAAGTTCTTCATGTAATGCTTTGCCTTGTTCAAATAATTGAAGTTTAACACATGCTTGAAAAAATAACATATAAGATTCATTATTAGGTTTGACTTTATCTTTTTCACGCATATCATAGAAAAGATCTATCGTACGTTGAGGATATTGATGAGTATTATAAGCTCTACAAATAAAAACAAAACAACAATGATGTTTTAGAAATCTTGGTCGTTCTAGATTTAAATTCCATAGTAAAATTTATATATATTAATCAGAAAAAAAGAAATTTGTTTCAAAATAATTGAAATCATTGAAAAAGTGTCTAATATGATTTATTTATAGGATATTTTTCAATAAAAATTTCTTTGTTTTTTTATTTAAATATGAAGATTTAAAATATTTATTTCTATACATAACTTACGTCATAAGTGCGTTATAGTCCACTACTGTTCGATTTTTAAATAAATCAAACATTTCTCGAGCACTATCCACATCACCACATCTCAAATACACTTGCTTAATGAAAAGAAAAAACACATTTTTTCTTTTTTTTTTTAATAAAAAAATTAGTAAATAAACTTACCATTACAAGAGTTTGTATGCGACTATTGTCTCGTACAGGTGATTTATTAATAAGTCGATGTAGATAATGTCCACTGTCAACATCTTTAATATCTTTACATATTTCAAGCATACTAATATATGTAATATAATCTGGTTGAAATTGATATTTTCGTATACCGATTTCGAATAACTTTAATGCATTTTTTTCTTCATTACGCATACGATAGAATTTTAGTTTTTTATTCCATTCAATTGTATTTTCTAATGGCAATTTTTCTAATTCATCATTTTTTTCGATTTCAATTGCAGTTTTTTTATTTAATAGATCTAATAGTCTTTGTGATTGATAACGACAGATGAACAGTCTTGGACCAATGAAAATTTTTAATGGACGATGCAGAAAATTTAGTATTGACATGTCTATATATTACCTCAAGGTTAATAAATAAAAAGACAAAATATAGAGAAAAAAAAAGAGAATATATAAACATATATAATTACTGATCATTTTTTTTTTTTTTGATAAATAAAAAACAAAAAAATATGACTGAATAAATGCACAAAACTATTGCACAAATATCTAACATCAAAATTACACAACAGAAAACAAAAATAAAGAATACAAGACAGAAATAAATGAATAGAAAAAAAAACGATGTTCACATTTATAATCATTCATTTATTTTGGATTTTATTAGACTCATTAATTATTTTTGATTATTAGAATGTAAGAATTGGCATTTGATTTGATTCAAGTATATCTTTCACAATAAATTGACAAGGTAATGTTAAATACGTAAGACATGTTTGAAGAGGAAGCGTTTGTATTGGTTGATTCAATCGAGAGCTTGAACCACGCATCCAATTCATAGCTTGACTAAGTGTACGACCAAGAAAACCACTTGTTTCATCAGATAATTCTAGAGAATAAAAAAACAATTTAAATATATATTTATTTCATTTATATATCGAAAAATAAACCTTGTCGAATATCGGTTGATTCAACTTCAGGTGTTGTAACATTAGATATTATTTGTTGTTGTCGTGTTGTTGGTGGTATCCATCGACTAATTGAAATATTATCAAGTGTACGACGTTTGTTCCACTATAAAATAAAAGAGATTATGAACTTTCTTTTTAATATCAGAAAATAATATTCAACATACACTTTCTTCATCAAAACTACTTGACATTGGTGTTGTTGGAATTGATTCAGGTGTTGTAATACCGGATTGAATTGATCGACATCGACTTACTGCCATTTCTGCATGACCTTTGCCCTTAAAAATAAAATAATGATTAAATATTTATGTAAAAAAATTGATTTAAAAAGATTTGCTCACTAATGATTAAGAAATTGAATTCTTACAAAAAAGAAAATTGAAAGTGTTTGTGTGCTATACAATCAACTAAGTGCAAAATATAACTTAAAAATATTATTGTCAATCATACAGTAGAACATGTTAAACATATTCATAAAAAACATAATTTTCATGACTTTATTACATTTTTTTTGCTTTGAAAAATTATCTCTTCAATAATGTAATCAAACATCAGACTACTAGTTAGGTTACTTAATTTAATCCATAATGTTAACTATTCATTTGTATTCAGATGATGAATTTTGATCTCATATTTTATTGTTCTTCGATAAAACACATGATTTTTACATTTCTGTAACTATATTTAGTTGCGTGTAACTATAGATTATTTTCTTTCATCATACCCACAAAATTGCATGACATTATTGACAACTGTAATTTAATCTAAAATATTATACCTAGACATTATTGATAGCTCATCTTATATTCTCCTACATAATCATCAAATGAATCAAACAATATATTTTCTATTTTAATAAAAAAAAGTGCGATGAATTATCGACGATAGCATCATAATAGACAGACTAGACACAGGTAAGATAGTTCCGAGACCAGGATCTATAATTTTTCATTTGTAGCGATATCTTTTATGTTCTTGTCAAACTTGCATCGAATATCATATTGCCATGACTCGTGTGTTCTACACAGATATCAGAAAAATGGCCCTGGTCCTGCTAGAACTGAAACACAATCAAAATTTTTTCTCGCGATTAACCACGATCGGTCCCATTCATGTCTAACATAAACAATGTTTATTGTTAATTAGATCTATTCTTGTTCTGCGTTGTTAATTATTCCGCATAAGGTTTTGCAGTCGATTATGAGTATTTATCGAAAAGAAAAAAAATTTTTTCTTCATCATCCTTGTACATTGAGATAAACAAAAAGAAAACATGATATTTCTACTACGAGTTCTAGACAGAAAAACAGAACTGTCTTTTTCATGTGTATTTAACATCTTTAAGGAGTAATAAAATTCTCGATGGTATTTTTTTATAAGTCCATCTATTTTTACAAAATGTCATATTTTTGTCTTAACCAATATTTTCTGTATTGATGTTTACTTTGTTAGAAATAAGTTTGCCTTTTTTTTAGAATAGAAATATTTGCTTCAACTAATAAATATTAATAATAATAACAATAGTTCTTGTTATTCAGGTGGTTTTTACATTAAAAAACAATTTTATTAAATAGACATACATTTGGTCCACGCATTCGAACGAATTCCACTCGTCGCTTTGTATAGATACCTAATGACATACGTTGAACAACTCGAGTACTTGTTGTTGCCTAAGACAAAATATCGATTAGATATATTTAAAATCTATATTATTTTATACTCGAGTTTCATAAACTTTTTTTAATGATTCATATTTAATTGAACCAAGAAATAAAACTCGTTGTTCATTTAAAACTGGATTTTTCGCAACTAATTCCACACATACCATCTGACCTTCATTCACAATCATTTCACAAAAGGTCTACATTTAAAATGATAAAACTAAATATTTCTGCATGTATTATCAATTAATCTTACATCTTCAAAATTATCAACAGTAAAATAAATATTTGGATAAGTTATTTTTTCTTCTGTTCCTTTACTTTCCATATCTCGACGTGATGGACTAGCATAGACTTTCTAAAAGAAATATAATAATAACAATCTATTTTTATATTCATTAATAAATAATTTTATCTTACTGTTGATAAACGTTTAAGAATTTGTAAATGTTTATTACTGGTTTTAGTACATACGGCTGTTGTAACTGTATACTCAAATTGATGAAGGACTAGATTTAAATTTGTTGTTTCTTCCCAATCATATTCTGGTGCTGCCTAAATTGATTTTATTAATAATTTATTAGAAATTCTATTTCTTTTTTTACTAATGTTGGCAGTCGTTTGGTATCATGATGACGAAAAACTTCTACTAGATGCTAAAAAATAAAAACACAAATAAATCAAAATCTTAATTTTAAAATACGAATCAAAATTAAACAAACTAATGGATGATGAAAATCGTTATCCATTTGACGTGTTACATAAAATACAAGATCATCATCACTTGTTGTATTTGTTGTTGTTTGAGACAGACGTGTTTTAGATGATAAAAAGTACGTATCAAATAGTCTTGGCCATTGAGAATTCGATTGTTGAATATGTACATAATCATCATCTAAGGACGATTTAGATTAATAGAAATAAGATCTTCTTATAAGATTTACCTTCATCTAGCTTATTTTTGTGTCGCTCTTTGGCCATAGCCAAGAGCAGGCTTTGTATTGATGAAGTCATTCAATCTTAAAGCTATCCAATCCACTTTTTAAAAATTAAAATAATAGAAAAAGATGTAAATGAGAAATAAAATTAATTGGTTTAAGGCACTACTAATAAAATAATTTTAAATAACCAATAAACTTCGATTACAAATAATAACAAAGCTTTGAAATGATAGTTATCAAATAGAAAAAGAATCCATTATTTATTATTAAAATGCATTTTTTCAAATCATTTATTCAGTGTCGCTAGATGTACGTTGAATCACATTATATTTTTTTTCTATCGACAAGGAAAAAAAAACATGGCGTCATCATATTTCTCTTTGCGTTTTCTTCTTGTTTGATGATTATTATTTGTGTATTGTATTGATTATCAATGTGCAAATGATTATTTATATTAAAGTGTAAAATTCAATAACAGAAAGGTAAATTTGACTATTAACAATATAATGGGTTGTGCAACAAGTCAAGATGAAAAACGACAAAAAGAAGTATGTGTATTTTTATTAAGTCCAGTATATAAATATATCATTTTTATTCTTGCAGAAGTTAATTATGAGTAAGATAGATAATTTTTGCCTTCTTTTATTAACATAACACAAGATTCGTACTTTTTTTTCTAAAAACTATGAAATAACGCTTCTTTCATTATGCATTAAATTTTATTTTTTAAAATATATTTTTTTACGTTTTTAGTACAGCAAAGCACTTGATCGAATAATAAAAGAAGATGCTGAACGAGCAGCTAAAGATGTTAAACTTTTATTACTTGGTATAACAAATATAAACTCAATTTCTTTGATGAAAATTTATTTTTCGAAAAAATTTAGGTGCTGGTGAATCGGGCAAGTCAACAATTGTTAAACAAATGCGTATTATTCATCAACATGGTTATACAAAAGAAGAATTTGAACAGTATCGTCCAGTTGTTTATTCAAATACGATTCAATCATTAGGCGCTATAATACGCGCTATGAATATGCTCAATATACAATTTGCATCAGTTGAACGAGAAACTGATGCTCAACGTGTACTTGAAGTTATACAACGTATGAAAGATACGGAACCATTTAATAGTGAATTATTATCATCAATGGAACGTTTATGGGCTGATGCTGGTGTTCAACAATGTTTTTTACGTAGTAATGAATATCAATTAAATGATTCAGCACAATACTTTCTTGATCAATTATATCGTATTGGTTCACCAGATTTCTTACCTAACGAACAAGATATATTACGAACACGTGTTAAAACAACAGGAATTGTTGAAATAAATTTTTCATTTAAAAATCTTAATTTTCGATTATTTGATGTTGGTGGACAACGATCCGAAAGAAAGAAATGGTTTGTTAGATTATTTTAAAAATAAATATGATTCAGTTTCGCTATTTTTTGTTTTTTGTTTTTAAATAGGATTCATTGTTTTGAAGATGTGACTGCTATTATATTTTGTGTAGCACTATCAGAATATGATCAAGTACTTTATGAAGATGAATCAACTAATCGTATGCATGAATCCTTACGTCTCTTCGATAGTATTTGTAATAATAAATGGTTTGTATTCTTTTTGTTTAAATTTTTGATTAAATTAAACTAAACATTAAAAAAAAATTGTATTCTAGGTTTGTTTATACGGGCATAATATTATTTTTAAATAAAAAAGATTTATTCGAAGAAAAAATTAAACGTTCACCATTAACACTTTGTTTTCGTGAGTACACAGGACCAAATGAATATGATCCAGCTGCTGAATATATTCAAGCACAATTTGTAGCAAAAAATAAATCAACACAAAAAGAAGTTTATTGCCATCATACATGCGCAACAGATACACAAAATGTGCAATTTGTATTTGATGCTGTTACAGATGTAAGAATAAGTTTATTTATAATGAAAAACAAATGTCTATGTCTTTTTGGTTTTTCATTAATAGGTTATTATTACGTTAAATCTTCGTGGTTGTGGTTTATATTAAAAAAAATAAAGACATGCTCAAAAATATATACAAAAAAAAACAATTGAGACTTTCTACATATCTTTTTTTTCTTTTCTTGCCTTTATTCAATTCTTATGTTTCTCAGAAAACTCCAGTGACTCTCTTTCTCTTTCTTGTGACCTCTCTGTCTCTAGTCAGGTCCGATAGACAGTGAAAATTAAAAGCCGAAGTATTTTCTTCAAGTGCATTATATTTGCATTTCTGCAAGACTAACACAAAGGAAATCATAAATAATGTACTATTCCATGTTCTTCTCTGTTTGTTCTACCTTTACGTATCGTTTTGTATATGTTGTCAGATGTATGTATTAATTGATCTTCTGTCGATCTGTTTCATTTAATATACTTTTTCGTTTTCCTTGCATAATGTACACGAGAGAAAAAAAACATATTTACTTGGTTGCTTTTACAAAAACAGACAAAAAAATCTCAGATCTCTCTTTTTTTTGTATGTATCGTTATTTATGTATGTATATTTATATAAAACGAAAGAGAAAAGAGTGCAAAATAATAATCTAGTTATTTCAATATACAACAATTTTTTTTTGTTTGCTATTCTATTATTTGCTGCTACCTATTCTTTATTTACTATAATTATATACGCGTCGTGTGTTTCTTCTCTGCTCACAATCTTCTCTTTTTGTCTTTTCTTTTGACATAAATAAATCAATTTCGAATACAAAATATGGCTAGATTTCATTAATATAAATAATAATCTACTTAAAGATTTATGTGAGAAGTTAGAATTCAGTTTAATTTGATGATATTAATTTGGTTATTTCGAATAACAAATGATTTAAGCTGAAACTCATTTAATTTTTTTCTCAGATGTAATACCTATTTGGATAATCAATCAGATGGTAATAAACCATTTTGACATAAATACATGCAGATTTTATTCTTTTCTCTCAAGAGACTATTTACAGATAATAAATCTACAACAGAAAGAAAGAAGAAGAAAAAAAAACATCCGAGACATCCAACAATATTAACTACCTTTGAAAAAAAATGATCTTAAGTCATGTTAATAAATTCCTAAAAGAATTCTTTCATAGATCAAATAGAATATTATTAGTTAGATTGAATATGTATGATTATCAGATCCAGATGAAAATCTTGTTGAAGGTTAATGAGCATTGTATTATGAATGACAGATGATGAGACGCATTGATACATCCCATATTTGGCATCTATGGACCCTTGTATCAACTAAGAGATATAGATAGACTGATGATGTATTCGATGATGAAAGAAGAAAATTTCTCATTTTGACGAATATCATATTGAGTCTTTCGTTAGATAACTAATACATATCTTTAATCACTGTATAATGAACAATAAAATCGGCATTATCGAATATTGTTTCAATTATTAATCAACTAAATAATGTTTTTGTTTATTGAGAGTAAGCAAAAGTTTGAGCTATTCTTACTACAAACAAATATATATTGAGTATATATTAGTGTTAATTGCATATATAAAGAAATTGACGTCGTTTGCTGAGAAAAAAAAACAACCATGTGTTCCTACTGAGACTGAGAAATTTGTATAATAGACTATAAGTAGGATAAAAATTAGATTCAAAATATGTATAGATATTTCAAGAAAATAAATCGAAAGTATTTTACCATATAAAAGGTTATGTACGTAGTAGGAGAATTCTCGAAAAGATCAACATATTTTTAAGTGTAAATTAATATGTGTTAACTCTTGTCTAACAAATTAAAAACCCAATTGTCTTTCACTAATAAGAGTACAAAATAATTACTAAAAGTCAACAAACAAAAAGTATTGTAGTTATTTCGATCCTCTAAATATATTAGTTGATTCGAAAATAACCTACCATGACAGACGGCTCATCCATGCATAGTCAGAAAATAATAGATTTGCTTGATTTTAATTCTATATGTCAGTATATTTTTCTTAGAATATGATGAGCTTTGAATGTTACTTTTTTTTTATTCAAAAGTATAGAATACATTTCAATTGATACCAACAAAGTGATAATTTAGATTCTCACTTTTAATTATTTATCGATACAAATTACTATTTTGAGATTATTCGATATTATCAAATCAAAGTAATTAATCAATATATGGAAACATTTGTTATTATTAATATGTGTAATCAAAATGAAGAATAATATGACATATATTTTGATATACGATTCAAGAAAAGTTATTATATAAAATTATTTTTCATAAATATATTTGCTTGTTTATTAGAGAACGTAAAAACAGTGTTAGAAAGTACTTTTCTGTTTTTGATAAGATTTATTTTATAATTTAGTCATTATATTTAGTATGAGAAAGTAGGAAGCATCATAATCATGATTCAGATGCGTAAATCATTGAAACTTTTTTAATGCATTTCAGAATATAAAATATTATGATTATTAATAGATTAAACATGTCAACATTTATGATTTATTAGATTGTTATGAATTTTAACGTAAAACATATTTTTTCTTTATTGCTATCATTTTCAAAGTTAATTAATTCACGTCTTCTTGACAAGTATTCGTTGTATCAACAAGCAAATTTCTGTCAAAATAATCACAGATATAAATAAAGAACTATTTCAGTCTTGTTACTAGTTAGTTTTATAGGATTTCTTTTATTTGAAAAAAACTTTGTTTTTTTAATAAACTTGTTCATTTTGTCGCATATGTTCAAAAAGGCCTTGTTCAACTTCACTTAATAACATTTCATTATCAGTATCGTTGGTTAGATTAATACTAACATATATTTGTTTTTGTCCACCCAAACGACGTGCAACTTTTTTACTTAATGATAATGATTGTTCATAAAAATCCGTACCAAAAAGTGTTGTACCAAGAAATTCATTGGATGACGATGACATTTTAGGCATTGTCATAGCTAAATTTGATATATCACATGATGTTGTTCCAATCCAGATAAAAAGGCATCGATCTGGATAACGAATAATTTGATAAAGAATTAATTGCTCTGCAATACGACGTGAAAACTCAGTTATTTTGATTCCATTTGTTATTGTTGATTGATCAATAGTAGTAGATGAATTATTAACTAGTTCAGAATTGTTCATTGTTGACGTCATTTTGTTAAATCTAGAAGTAGGATAATTCAATTATGAACTGATCAATTAATTTATATACAACGATAAATTTCTCTGCTTAACTGTTCATTCTATTGTTATTTTTCAAGTGAACAGTTCTGACAAAAACTTATATGATATATTAATGATTTAATCCGAGATCTAAATCATTACCAATTGATTCTACTCATCGTAATTGAACACATCCTACATTAGGGATGTAACGGTGATGGAGGTCACCGGCATACTGGTCTAGACATGCACGTATATAGAATAATGGTGAAAATGGCGAACTAAAGAGAAGCAAACTGATTTCTATGTTAGAAATCATTATAAATCGTGAAGGATACGAATAAAGGTTGGAAGTAGTTACAAGTTTTCGGAAAACATCAGAAATCAATGGAAATAATTGTAAATCACAGCAAATATCGAGTAATAAGATAAAAAAATAAAGCCTTGATTTCTGATGATTTTTATTGATTTCCTTGATTTTCCATAGTTTCCAATACTCCAGTGATTGCTCTTGATTTCTAATTATTTTGCGTGATTTTTCTTCATTTCTAAGCATTGCCGCTGATTCCTATTGATTCGCGGTGAGCGAATAAAAACTGATTTCTATTGATAGAAACAGTGGAAATCAGTTTGTTCTCCCTTGTGGCAAACATATGATAAAACTATGGTAGTCTTGGATTGGTTTCTACTTTTTCAGTCTACAGCAGTCTATTGCAAGAAATTAGCTGAATTTTTATAAAACACGACAAAACCATGAGAACTAAGCCTTTCTCGAACAAGTCAATCAAACTCGAGAATTTCAACAAACTTTATATAGATTCGAAAAAAAATCAAAATCAATCCAAGATCACCATATTTTTATCGTGGATACACTGTTAGCTTATACGTACATGTCTTGATCAGTGCAAAACTGTACGTAAGACTGGTATACCATTGTCACCGATGAACAATGGCCTGATGCCACCAGCAGTACAATGTGTCGTTGCACAGTCCACTAGAGACCGTCAGGTTAGGTACCAACCTGACGAGCTCTACGTTGCGCATCATCATTATATCCCTATTCCGAATTGAATATTCTTCTTTGTTTTTTCGTCTAAGTTACGAACTCTTTCTCTTCATCGGACATTTCTCTGTATACAATCAATGAGAAAAATCGCTCATAGATTTCGAACCATTAATTAAGTCTTCAATCAACATAAAATTCTTAGTACCAAATAAAATTGATTTTATTTTTTTAATCTATCACTCATTCACATAATTCTATCTACAAAGAAAAATGTTGATTACCTTTGTTTTCATAAATATTAAATCTCGCTTTTTTTTTTTTACTAAATTTTTATTTATCAAAACATCTTCAAGTTTTATTTTTTACAAGACAATGACCATGAAATAAAATCAATCCGATAGATTTCAAATAATATTCTATGACTAGCGTCGGATTTTATTATGTTGTCTTTAGTTCCTTTAGTATTTGTTTGCATAAAGCTTGTAAAAACTGTTCTGTTTACAAACACACACAAGTTCCTGAGCACAAGATAGAGAGAAACAACAAAAGAAAAGAAAAAAAAAATGAAGCAAATGCGTACACATGTGCGAGATTCCAGCGACAAAATGTCTTAAATGCTAGACTGGTCAATTGCAGACAAATATATAAACACAAATGTAAAAAGAAACAAAACAAACAAATAGAGATCAAGAAAAACATGAGCATTTATATGTATATATATATATATATGTATAGATGATTTCAAAACAAACAAACAGAATTTGCCTAGAACAAGAACAAAAAGATAAACAACCAAAAGTTAAATAACACCTTCGATTGAATTTGTATCAAGATTTAATATAAGTACTTTAATAAATAGCATTTCTTTTCGTGCATTTTCAAATATAACTTTAGCATCTTCTGAATCACATCGAAGAATATTTGGTGCAAATACCATTGATAAATTATTTACATCCATTTTTGTAACAACAACATTTTCTGGTGCAGCAAATACCTAAAAAATAAACATAAAAGATTATAATTTACATACAAAACAAAAATATAGCAATAATTCCTGAACTAACCTGAAGAAACCGTATGAGATATGTTAAAACAGCTCGATTTATATCAGGTAATGAATTAACAAGACGAATGCATGTTTCTGGTATATCACAGTTAAGTATGCATTGTTCATAAAATACAGATGGTATTAATGGCTCAGATAATTCACGATACCAAAGTTTTAATAATGATGCTGGCAAATGTGCATCTTCAAGTGATGGTAATTGCCATTGATCACATTTTACTTTTAATGCATTAACACCATCTAAATCTCCAGGTACTCTATTATAAATAATTATTAAACCATAATAAATAAAGAACTAGAATTTTACAATTAAATTAAACTTACCGAAATATACCTTCAATTTGTGCACCATTTAATCTCAATACTTCTTCAGATAATATTGTTTGTATCCATGGTAAACGTCTTTCAGGAAATCGTGTTCGTTGCATAGCCATTACTTCTTCAAGAGTTGCACCAAACATTGATGGAAAATGAATTGTATGCTAAAATAATTCATTTTTAAAGTTTATCAAAATTATCTCAATCAATAAAAAACAATTCGAGCAAATCTTAGAGAAAAACAAGCTCCTCAACTGATTAATCACTGTTAAGTCAGGACTTTGTGCATCATGTAGACTAAAATGAACACGATATAGAACTCGAACTCGTCATTTATTGCTGTGGAGATTAGTGATGAGCAGAATCTATCATTTATGGTGCTGACTTTAGTCAAAACTAATTGTTGGTCCTGGCCTCGGATAAAAACAATTATTGCTTCCAGTTCCGAGTAAAAATTATTGATTCCGGTTTCAATCAATAAAAATTGTTGGTCCCCTCACAAAAACTTGTTGATTCCGATCACGGTAAGAAATATTTGTTAGTTTTGATCCCGGTCGGAAAAAATTTTAGTTGTTGCTTCCGATTTGATTATACATGTACTAGCGAAAATGCAATATCTTTTTCTAGTAGTGTGAATGCACTAGAGAAATGTTGTACGACCTTCAATATTCTCTCTCTTAGAGACTTGTTATCTTTTTAAATCAGTAATACTTCGTCTATTCTGGACGCTCATATGTTTGACAACTCTGTTGTTTACGAAAAAAGGTACTAATTTTACTAACAAATTTTTATAACACATAAGTAGTGTGACTATCGCATTTAACTCAAATCTTACACAACCATAAACAATATCACTCTCAATGAAAAAGTTCTGGTCGTGGTCTCAGTAGAACTAGGACCATCTTGCCCATATCTAGCAGAGATACTATATTTGTACGGAATTTTTGAAGTCAATATCGTTTTAATCCTTACGAAAACTCATTTTCGAATTTCAAGTTGAAATATTACACAGAGATACACTTTGAAAAGAATACTTTATTGTGAAAGTTTCATGTCTTTTGATTTGCTTCTATCCTGAAATAAAAATATCAAATCTCCCAATGTATATAAACGATGTCAAAGATATACTTTTACCAAAAGTTATATCTTAGAAGAATAATGATAAAAAGATATGAAATTTTCCCGATAAGTTATTCTCGTTAAAATCTGTCTCTAAACACATTTTCAAGTTAAAATTCGAAAAAAGTTTTTCTTATTAGTAACATGACATTGACTTATCAAATACCGTACAGATGCAAAGTCTCCACGGTCATAATCTAAGAGCTCGAACTATTTTCCGAGTTTACATGGTGCACATCATCTCAACTCAAAAATAATTTTATCTCTTCAGGCGATCTTCTTTCTTTAGTCCAAGTATGAGTATGAAGTGATTCCTTGATTTCAAAGTGGAATAATACGAAAAATAGCATTTAACAGGGCTCGTATCAATATCTATTCATTTTATCTCATAACGATCATAACTCTTAAAATAAATTTCCAATGTAAATTATATTTAAATATTTTTATTTACTTTTGAAAGTTCAATTTCTTCAAATGTTGGTTTTTTCAATCCTTTTTTAGGACCTGTTTGTAGAATTTTTTCTAAACGTTTTTGACAAACATTCGCATAAATTGATATGGGTACTTCAGGTGTATCAGCATCACCATTCGTTTGTAATGAAATGTATTTTTCAAGTAATGATTGAAATTTACTTGATGGTGGAAAAAATGAAAGACAAACAGCTAGAAAAAATAAATAATAAAATGAATTTTTTTTTAATTTTTAATTTTTCATTACCCATTAGTTCCCATCCACGTTGTAAACTTTCAGCATTAATATTATAACTAGTTTGTTTTATTAATTGTAAATAAAGTTCATCTCGTATTGATGGTAAACTCCAACCTTTTGTTGTTAATTCTAAACATGTATTTAATGATGCTATTTGTTTAGATTTTTTGTCTCCCATATATGTCTGTATAAGTTTAAATATTTCAGGTGCTTCTTTTTTTAAAACTTTATCCATTGTACGTAAAAGTGGTTTTGTTATTGGTTCTTTTGACCATGATAATAAATCATCTTGTGTTAACCGTTTACCAAATAAACCACGTTTATGTGTATTAAAATTTAACATATCATGAAATAAAATATCGGATTCACTTTCAACGATTGCTGCTGGAGCTTTTGTTGGAGAACATGATAACCACTATGAAATTAAAGTAAAGATATCTATTTAATTAATAAATGTGAAAAAGAAACTATTAGCGCAATTCTTGCGGAATTAAAATGTCAAACTCGATATAGTTGCTATTACTAATCACAGAAAAACTGTTTTATTCTATTTATTTGGGAAGACATTTCTTTGCCATCCTTTTACTTGAGAATTGAGAAATGCAATAAGAAATCAGTTCATATATCGTAACAAGATATTATTGATATACGGTTGATGATCGTATATCAACAATGACTGTCACGCAGCAATAGAATCTTTCAACTTCGAAATTTTCCGCCGTGGTCATCAAAAAACTAGGGTAGTCAAACTCGGTCGGGTCTGAGATTCATCCCACGGCTATGTATGGGAGCGGCAGGTGTTTCTAAGGTGCCTTTCACAATCTGTAATAGTCTCTGACTAGTATCTGTCATGTGAAGGAGAAGATTGTTGCGTAGACGCATGTCCCGGTCTGTAATAGCCTCTAAGTGGTGTCTGTCACGCGAGGGAGAAGAGTGTTGCTAAGGCACCAGTCATGATTTATGACATTTCCGTAGTTACGTCTGCTACAGTGTATGGGATTGGATCTAAATCTAAGCCACTCTACTTCAACATTCTTTTTAGATTGTGTTCCACAAATTACTTGTTTATAAATAGATGTTTGAGTATTTTGATTTCCATTATCATTTAAATTATGTAAATGAATTGAAACAGGTCGATTTAAACTTGATGATGATGAGTCGGGCTCATGTGATCGATTCAATGCTAATGAGTGATAAAAAATAGATTAGATTAGTTTCATTTGTTTGTTTTACTATTACACTTAATACATACAATGTGGTGTCATTGAATTTGAAAGTGGAGGTGAATTTGAATGGCCATCATAATAAATAGGTAAAGTAGGAGATGAAAGTGTTGAGGTATTTGAGTTAGTACCACATCCAGTTGCAACACTATTATCATTATTGCCTAAAATAATTTAAAAAAAATTTAATAATTGAAATAAAAATAAAAAGTTTTTATTTACTATTTTCAACATTAAAATTAATAGTCATTGGGTCAGTGGTTGAGTGAAAAAGAAATTCTACAACGAAAAAAGAAAAAAGAATTAAATCATAGATAATCTAATTTGTAAATATGGTTACTCACCATCATTACATGTTACAAATTGTTTCATCATAAGAGCTGTTTTATTAGTTAATGTATGCGCATCATCTGTTTGATTATTATCATTTTGATCATATTGTTGTAAAATGATTTCATTTCGTTCTTCATTATTTTTAATTCGTTGAGTAGATTTTTTTGTTCGTTCATTATTATGATTTGTATCATTACTTGTAAGATATTCATTTGCTTCATTTAAATATGGTTGTGAATGAAAATGTGCATTTGAAATCATTGAATCTTGTTCAATTGATGGATTTTTTGTTGATGATGATGAACTACTTGATGAAGATGATGATAATGTTGATGTTTTAGGTTTTTGTACATCATGTATACGAATATATGTACTACGAAGTGATCCATCATTACTTTTTATTTCAATATTTACATAATTCGGATTAGTACGTGGTTGTTTTTTTCGAACACGATTACGTCCATATGACAAGCGATTAAAATTTGATTCCGAAGGTATTATAGTTGATGATTCCATGGAATTATTTGCTATTGCATGATTATTATTAGTATTATTATTATGTACAACTGATTGATGCGGAATGCCAACTGTTGAACTTTGTAAAGATGGACTACTAATATGACGAAGTATTGGAGATTGTTGATGAACTTGTGAATTTTGATTAAAGAGCTAAAGATTAAGAACAAAAGAAGATTACACAACAGATCAAGACTATGATTAATAAAGAGAATTGACAATGAACTAAGTTGAGATTTAGAAAATAGAATCTTACAACTCATATTAACTAGGAATATGAATACAACTATTAATTTTTAATTATAGTGTGCTTCACTGGTTAAATAACTTTTAATAGGAACGTCAGATGGATCTGCAGTATTCACTATACAAAAGAGAGAAGATCCGCAGCCATCGACATTTATCGAAATTTGATCGATCAATAATTAACTAATGAGGTCAGTTCGAGATAGAGATTTTCGAAAACGATATTCTGAAGTTATTGTCCTTTCGATTGAGACTTCAAATAGGACTAATTGATAAAAAAAGACTCTTCTCTTTCGATCAACGCAAGGTTCGCATTCTTGGTTTGTTCCATTCGATAGTTATAAGACTTTTTCTGAGATCCTTGATTTCAGCCAACTGACCTTTGATCATCCAGAAAAGCAATTAACCAGGGCAAATTCATCATGCTGAGTCGAATGCCGATATTTGTTTTCGGATTCAAACTGATCTAAAACCGTTATCTCGATATGTGTGCAATTTTACGATTACACTCCATGTAACGAAGAGAGTCGACATTTCGAAAATATTCAGCTGGTAGTGTCACATCAATTTCAATCAATAAAACAAATATCACTATTCGACTGACCAAATCAAACTTTAACATACTTCGATGGCACTGAGTCTTGTCTCGAATGGCGAAAACTCTAGGTTTCTACAATGTTCCTGTCAAAAATTATTCAAAAAACAGTGAAGCATATTATATTTTGAAGTACATAATACTTACAAATATGTCAGATATGAGCATGATTTGACAATTGTTACTGTCGGTATAACATCAAACTGCTATTGGTATTTACATATAAGAATTAAAAACCGATTCTATCAAATCCTAATGAGTACATTTAACTTATGGTGCGACAGTCTTGGCACAAAGCATTTGCTCATTATTATGGCCACTAAAAGACAACTGGTTAGAGTCAAAAGCAGTTGGTTAAAATCAGAGTTTTTTACTATTTCCAAATACGTGTACAGATTTTCCTTCTAGTATGAGATCGAAGTATCAATAAATTTTGCGAATAAGTGCAAAAATTTGTCTGTACAAAGCAAAATAGCAATTTTTCTACAGTGCTAAGTTCGTGTCTTGAAACAACTTGACATAGTACAATGAGAAAAATCTCATGCATTTCCACTAAAGAACTACGTTCTATTGAAATTGGTATTGATCAACAAATCGCTGTTTCAAAATCTGCTTTGACAAGTACATAAGTTTAAAAACGTGTCATATAAAAGTAAATAGCACACTGTGTAGAGCAAAGTGAGCCATTAAAAACTATATTGTATTTTGAATATCATAGGTTTAAATTGAAATAGAAAATTGAACAAAACAGTATTTTGTACAACCGTTAATTTAGACATTTTGAAAATATCTCATGATAGTTATTCAATGTGCACCTTGGAAGTAAATTCTGGATCTAACTAACTATTTTTGAGTCTAACAAATCAAAAAATAAGTGAATATTTTGCGCCAAGTAAAAGTATTTTTTTCTGAACCAAGTATCATTGTATTTGTTACGAGTACTTTTGTTGAGTGAAAGCTTTTCATGACAGATAGAATCTTGCAAAGCAAACAAGTAAACAGTGTTTTCTCTTCTAAAGAGGTCATTTAAAACTCTATAAGAGCGAATCAAGGAGAGAAAAGTGGAAATTCCATTATTTCAAATTTTAAATAGCAATTAAGTACGATGAAGTATTTTGACTTTAGTGCCAGACAGACTTATATAAAATGAACTCAAAATAGTATGCTTCATATATATGTTGATAGTAGAATTGCCATAGCTAAAACATTCTAGAGGATATAGCTTTGACATGTCTTTGGAGTACGCCATTTTTGCTTTTTCTCCCTTGGGATAAACACATATTTTTCGTGAGCCCAGGCATATAGAGTACGTACTACAATAACTATAAAATCTGGAAAGTTCCAACCGATCTTCCAAAGAACACCTCTAAACTGGATAAAAAGGTATGTCTGATTAATGTCAAAAAAAAAATGTCGAAAGGAAAAATGTCGAAAAGTTTGAAGACGGTAACAGTAAGATCTTAGTAGAGGTAATGTTGTCGGAGAAAGCAAAAATTGTTGAAATTAAGTTTTTAATAATTTTACGCAGACAGCAATTTAACAAAAAATATCTAACAATCAATCATTTTTTATTAATTTTTTTTGTTTTATCCTTAGCAACAACAAATGATAAATCTTCTAAATATTCTCCTAAATTGATTTCATTATTTGCATAATGATCAGCAAGAGTAGTAATACGACGTTGTACACAATTTGTTCTTTTTGTCCCAGAGGAAGTGGTGATTAATTTATCTGTATCTATATTGTATGGGAGAATTTTGTATTGTGCATGCTATTAATTTAATTCACACTTGCGCCTCATACTCTTTGATTATTTGTCAAGTCGGTCAATTTTCATTCAACCATTTTTACAACATCAACTCTACTAAGATTTTACCCTTGCCGTGTTCAAACTTTTCGACATTTCTCAGTACATTCGATAAAAAACTCGAAGTGAACCCTGTAGAATTTGATTCATTCGTCTTTTTTTCTATCGATATTCATTCTGAAAAGCATGCACTATCCATCAAATATTTCCTAATATCAACAAAAAGCTGACGACCGAATTCCTATGTATTAGAATGATATGAACACATTGATATTTTTTTGCATGACAACAACAAAATATATTCCTAAATTGTTATTTATATTATCTTAAACTTACATGTTCATTTAAAGGTGAACAACTAGCAGCATTTAAATTACAAAGTGGATCTTTCATTGTTGTTGTTGTAGTTGTTGAAGACTTATTTGTTCTATGGTGTACACTACCTGAACGTTTATTTTCATCTGTTGTGCCTCCAGTAGGTGTTGATTTTACTGTTAATGGTGTTTTTAAATTAATACTTTGTGAACGTTTAGTATTAAAATCACTTCTTGGTGTACCCAATGTGGATGATGATTGTCGTTCTAAATAATAAATAACATATTGTGTTGCTTATTGATATGCTAAAAGAATACTCAGATACCTTCGGAATCATTTTGTGATGTTGTCATCGTTGTTGTTGCTTTTCGAATAATAGGATAATTATCATAACCATTTTTATCAGGATAATTATCATAAGCATCGCTTGTTAAAGAATCATTTGTTAAATGTCGATTAGTTTTTTTATTTAATGGATAAGATGATTTTCTTTCGAAATTTGTTGGTGATATAATTGTATTATCAGTATTAATAGTTGCATTTGTTAAATTATCATATGTTGATTTTTCAATTTTAATATTTGGTCTTGTAGGTGATGAATGTTGTCGTAATAATGAAAATGATGTTGATGATGTTTTAGTAGAGTTTTCATCGACTAATGAGGATTTTGTTGATGAAGATGTTGATGGTGATTTATCTAATTGTCCATTAAATGTTTGTTGTTGTGTACGACGACGAAAAAAACTATTTGTTTGATTTGAATTAGTTGGTAATGTTATATCGTTACAAGCAATTGTACGACGTGGATCATTAGTTACACTTGATGTAAGTATAGTATTTGGATGAAGAATAGTTGCTGTACGACGAATAGACTTGAAAAAAGAAAGAAAACACAAACGAAATAATTATATGTTAATTATTATTATTTTTTTTTTTGTTACTCGATGTGCAGCAGCATTTAATGGTGGTGTAGACATTTTAGATGGTGATGTTATTTTATTTTGTTGTAGTGATATATCAAGACCTTGTAATGATATTTGTTTCCATTTGTTATTATTTGTATGTTGTTGAACCGTATGGTTAATTGTTGATGCTGGCGAAGTAATTATTGTTGATGTTATTTGTTCATCTTTTGGTTCTGTGTTTTCTTTGATCATCTTAACAGAAGGAAACAAAAAAAAATCGATTCTAGTGATGATAATGTTGGCCATGATCATGTCAGAATGAGAAACGAGAAGAAAAGGAAGATTTACATCATCTATATTTTAGATAGAATATATACATATAGTTATGTATCTCTTTGGGAGAGAAAATCAATGATGATTAATATTCGGCACATGTTTGTTCATTCATCTTATATCAATAGAGAAAAATGAGTTGACTCAATTGCGCAATCTTATTTTTTTGGCATACCTGCAGTTTAGCCAAGGGAATAATATCAGCGCCCGGTGGTCGTTGCCATACAGTTCTTTGACTTTTTGCATTATAATAATAATTACGTTTCGTACTAGCATCAAATAATTCCCACCATTGATTTTCATCTGTACGTTTACTAGAATAGATTAATAACGAAAAAAGAAGTAATTAATTAAAATCATATTCAAGTATTCTAATAGAATTACACACAATGTCTTCATTCTTTATTGATTTTTTTATTGTGTTATTATTCTATTGTTCAAATTTATTTCTATCTCAATGACAAGTAAATTCAAGGTCCTTTGCTTATATATATATACGGATATATAGATAAATTACGTGTACATTAGTAGAAAAAAGACGAGTATTGATGTTACCAAGGAACTTATTATATTACGCTACTTGATTACACTGTAAGTCTGGTACATACTCTACGATGTTCTTTCGTTCGTTAATTGATAATTCTTTCTCTTTCCTATTCCATTTTGTCGGACTAATAGTTAGGCAAGAGGAAATATCCAGATTTTTTTCTCGTTTTTTTTTTGCTGATTATGCAATTTACATCTTGATACGAAAACAAAATAAAAGAAAAAAAAAAACTCTACAGATTTATATAACATTGTTCTTGTCTATATCCAGATATCTGGTCCACTCTCTATCTACTAGTATATAATGACATTTCTTCGTTTCTTTTGTGTCTATACAAGAATAAACGTGCATTTGTTCAAATGTGTACTTATGTTTGTCGTTTTCTTTTTCTCACGCTATGTATTGACTTGACCTTTTCTTATTCGTTCGTTTATTAGTGAAAGAGAAACAAAAGGTAAAATAAGATGTGTCTGCTGTCGTCTAGATTTTCAAATACAAGCGTAATTAGTCTTTGAATGAAATTGAAGATGATAGATTAGATAAACATTTAATGAATTGTTTTTTTTTTTTTCTAAACATATATTTAACTTACATTCGTGCACCAGGTGGTGCTTCCCAAACACATTCACCAGTTACAAGATTGGCATACATAACGTCCTTGGATTTTGGTTCGATAATTTGAACCCATTCAAGTCTAATAAAAGAAAAGAAAATTAGTTAAAATGAAAACGATTGATATTATTTTTATTTTTCTATTAAAAATAACAATCATAATAATAATTTCTAACTTACCTTTCACCCATATATGTTTTTTGTTTCTCTTCAATGATTAATAAATTATTCCTTCATAAAAATAGTAATATCAGAAAAGAGATGTACACATACACAATTCGTCGCATGACTTATCGACGAGTTGATATTTTAGTTGTATGTAAATATCTATATACAAACAGATTGTGGATGATCATATATATTGTACCCCAAAAAAAAAAGTAACCTTGTCACTCATTTTTTTAATATGAACACCAAAAAAAAAAATGAATATGAGTAAAGAACATTTTATGATGACGCCCCGTTGAGAAATTAACAAACACGAGAGACCGAATATGAATGTAAGAAGAATCGACATACACATACTTCAGGCAAAGCTATTAGTGTAATCATGACTGATGAGAAGTGAAAATAGGGTTGGTCTTCTTTCTCGAATATTTAATTGACATTGAAAAAAAAAAAAAAGGGAAAATTGTCTCGTTATCGATTAGAAACCAAAAAGAAGGTGTCAATGAGATGTGTTGAATGGAAAGAAAATAATTGGTAAGATATTTCGATAATCATCTGTATTGTTGCTGTACTCTGAATAATAACATAACAAATGTCTGCTTTCTATCATCGATCGATCTGTTCAAGCAAACGAGTATAATGATAATTCTCATCCCAAAAAAAAAAAAAAGGAATTTTCTCGCTTTCTTTCGGTCATAGCCATCGACTAAGGAAAAGAACGTTTGCGATCGTAACTGCTCAATCGTCACGATCTTCCAGTACATATATGTATGCTTGTCTGACTATATGGGCGGCAGAATGAGGAAATAGCTTGTAAGAGGTGGCCAAAGAGAAAGGAAGAAAAGAATGTGGGAGAGGTCATCACAACGTCGCTTACTTATCGGACATACGATTACGTTAGTCAATTCTCCTATGTAATCGATTGACCGACTTGTCTTTCTTATATTATTCCTCAGAAAAACAATAAACGAATGAAAGGAAATGTTAAACAACAACAACATTAATACATATAAATGGGAACCAGATTTTTTTTTCTTCTTCTATCTTCAAATAAATGACAGGGAAGACATAGAATCTTCACTTACGTGATTAATCGACATTTGATGGACTTTTCTTTTTTTTCTTTGAAAAATGTTTCTTCTTTATTTAGAATTTATAATTAAAATCAAACATAAAGAACTTATTCTATAAACTATAATTAACTCTAAAGGCAATGAAACAAAAATTATTTAAAAAAAAAAAAAGACGAGATCTATAACCATATTGTACAAAATAAAAAGAAAATATACAAGCGATAGAAAGGGTAAAACAAATGTATATCAAGAGAACAACAAAAAAAAATAAAGAAAGAAAGAACTATTTTCTACTAACGGAATGGATGCTTATTATTCACCAATTACAATTATTATAGAATATTGGTGGCGCTATATGACATTTGTTACTTGAAAGAAGGAAGAAAAAAAAAAAAAACTAGTAAATAATTTTGTTTTTGCTTAGCTATTTTGATAATAAAAAAGTGATTTTAGAGACACACAAAAAAAAAGAAAGAATGCCTAAACCATCACGTCGTGTAATAGGTAAACCAGAACGATTGACATTCAACGAACTTCATGGAAAAGGAATAACACTTTCAAATAATAATCGACAAGCAACACGTTCGTCAGGTTTTGGTGATGCTATTGTATTTAGTTCCCGTACTATACGTACATATGAAAAAATTTTTTTAAAACATCGTCAAAAACAAGTTGATTGGATTGGAAGTCTACGTGTTGGATTTTGTATGCATGATCCTAAAACACAATTTACTCAAGAAACATTACCAAGTTTAGCTTTTAAACATTTAACAGGTTTTATAAATATGAAAAATAAATTCGAAATCATACGTTTTTTAATTTTTTTTTAAATTTAGATAAGGGTGGATATTGGTTACGAGCTTGTCCAGATGAACTTTTACGAACTTCACCAATTATTTATGTCTATTATTCTTATGGTAAGAGGGTTGCTTATTTAGAGAAAAACAAATTTGAATAGAATTAATAAGCATAGATTAAATTCAAAATGATTTGCAGTAAGTACTAAAACTATTGAATAAGGTTTATTTTCAATGCTTTCTCGTTTCTTGAAGCTTCGGAAAGAATTCAGATATTGGTTCGAGTAGAAAAAATTGTTTCCAACGCGAATATAAGAGAAAAATAAATATTATTAGATTCTCAAAGATAGGATCGTCAACAAATCAAGATCCTAGTATTGTAACATACAGAAGGAGTAAATATAATTTTGTTTGGGCTACATAGAATGGTAGGCAAAACGGTGCGGGTACAAAATTAGAAATCTTCGACTTCTCTACAGTGTTTTTCGGATAAGATATAACAATTTGATTGAAGGTTAACAAATGGTTTTTCTATCGGAAACGATAGCAACACCAATTAAGAATTGACCATACTATTGCTGTATCTCAGCTAAAAATCGTCGTAGAGACGTCGCAGTTGTCTCATTTTAAAGATAATTGTTTGCTCTATTAATCTATGGACTTAAAATAGCATGATATTTACGCGTTCTAGGCTTTAAAAACTAGAGTTTGGGTTTTCTGAAGATTCAGTCTTTGGGAATTTGATTATAAATCTTATTTATTCGAAGCAAATTTCTCATCTCGAATCATTATTTGGATTTCTTTTAGAGTTTAAGGCAGTGGAAAAGATTGAAAACAAAAATTGTTGAATACTGTTAAACCGCACTGTATTTACTCTTGATTGAAAAAAGTGTCAGGCTTTTATTATTGATATCATCTCGTTTTAATTTAATCATACTCTGAAGATCAAAGTTTGGTAGAAATAAACATGTATTAAAAGCAAGTCATGTTTTTAGTTACATAGCACAATCTCATGTAGATATATTGTCATAATTCTGGCCCGTAGGTTCTATTTTCGAACATATGGTTTTAATATAAAATTTTAGTTGTAGCAAAGGGTTGAATTATACGTTTTTAACTTGGAATTTTTGAATAATTATCAAAAATCTCCTATATATACGAATAATTGTAGAACTTGATTATATTGAGATTGTCTTGTACGGCCCATATAAACTCATAATTAGGTAAAGTACTATGACAGTTATCTTGTTATCGTTTTTTTTCGGCTAAAATGAAATGTAAACTCTTTTCTAATGAAATAAACTCAACCAAATAATAGAAACAGCTTCACTACTGTACAAACAATCACTATTATCATTGCATTTCTAATTTAAATCTTTTTTTTTAAATCGTTTAAGAATTCTCTTTTGTTGGTAATTGAAAGACTAAAACAAATAGAACGATAAAATAAAAATGCTTTTTTTTTTGTTCTTTAGATGGCCAAATCTATGTCGGAGGATATGGTCAAACAACTCCTGCTCAAGCAGTGTTAACTATGAATGAACATTTTGGTCCATATTATTTATTTTGTGAAGTGTATGGTAAAACACATCAACTAGAAATAATTGATGAAACAACATTACCAGATCAAACAGTAGTTAATGATGGTTTTTCAATATCAGTTCATGGTAATGTTATTGATTTAGTTAATAAAAAATCGAATGGTAATAATAATCTTTCACAACTTCAACATTTTAATTATTTATATCCATCGAATACTCAACATACATTAACATTTCTTCCAACAACAAAACATAATATTGTTTTAACAAGTAATAATCTTATTGTATGTGTTAATGATCTTAGAATAAAATCAAGTTATGCTTTTATAAATACACCAATGAAATTAAATGATATTTTGATATGTAAAGTGATGGATTGTGATACAAATATATCATCAGTACTTTTATTTGGTTTAACAACATGTAATCCAACATCATTACAAAATCAATCTTTACCTGAAGATACTGTAACACTTATGGAAAAATATCCATCATCAAAATGGTTTATTGATACTGATATAAATGCAAATATATCAATGTATGATGAACTTGCATTTTGGTTTGACTCAAATGGTCATATATATCTTTCAATTAATAATCGTTCACCAATACAACTTAAAAATCAAATACCATCATCTGATTTAATGAATTTAGTATTATATCCGTTTTTTGATTTATATGGACAAATAACTTCACTTTGTTTATATAATTTAAGTTCACAAACAAAATTAAATTCAAATCAACAATCAAATGCTCGAGAATTATGTTTAATTTGCTTTGAAAATTTAGCTGATACACAATTATTACCTTGTCAATGTATATTATGTAATCAATGTGCTACTGTGATTAAACGACCAAGTTTACTTTCAGATTGTCCATTTGATAGAAAACATATAACACAAATTCGATCATTACCATAATATGATTTTGTTATTAATTAGACGAATTTAAGAAATATAGCAAAACTATTTCTAATTGATTATTGAATTGTTTTTAACTGCATTCTTTGTTTTTCTTATCGTATAAATTGTTTTTTGTTCTGTTGTCAGATTTTATTTATGTTGTGTAAAAGAAAAAATGTTTTTTTTTTGTGATAAATTACAAGACAGTATAAATATTTTTTTCCTCTTTCGCAGAACAAGAAAAAAAAAACTTTAAAATATATTCTTTTTTCTTTTTGGTAAAAATATCCATGTACTAAACATATATATGAAAATTTATAATAAACTAGGATGGATATGAATTTAACTTTTTTGTCTTCATCTTTAAGAAATATCTTACAAGGAAACCGCTTTAGATGTCTGCTTTCGATTTCAATGATCTTTTTACTTATTGATACTATGTAGTATTCTAATAAAAACTGGGTTCCTCTATCAAGATTTGACTAACGTAAGTTATCAAGTTTTTTAGCAGTTTCCAGTTATCGAAAAACTCATATTTTAGAACTTTGCTCTCAAACTTTGTACATATAGAGAACTCAACTAGACCAACTTCCGTAAAAAACTTAGTGTCAGATCAATATTCCAAAACACGAGTTTTAGAAAGCCTGAACCTTGAAAAAAAACTCGATAGCTTAGTCAAATATCAATAGGAACCCAGTTTTTATTGGCAC